AAGATACGAGTTTATTTCAGTCCAACGAAGACATTAAAATACTCTTTAACAATATGACTGAGGAACTTAAAAATATTTCATATTGGTTCAAAAAAAATAGGTTGTCTTTAAATAAAACAAAATGGATACTTTTTCATCCAACTTCTAAAAAAAAGAAAATTCAAAATATCTTGCCTGACTTATATGTTGACAGTACAGTAACAAAAAGAGAAAAAAATACAAAATTCTTAGGAATTATAATAGATGAAAACATATCTTGGAGGCAACAAATTGATAATATTTCAATGAAAATTGCTAAAAGCATTGGAGTTCTATATAAAGTTAGACATATATTAAATAAACATCAATTAACACAACTATATTATTCATTTATTCATTGCCATTTAAATTATGTAAATATAATATGGGGAAGCGCTCACAAAACCAAACTTAAATTTCTCTAGCGACATCAGAAACACGCAGCTCGCACAATTAATTTTGCAAATCGTTTTTCAAGCTCAACACCACTTCTTAAAGAAATGAAAGTTTTAAATATTTACGAACTAAATGTTTTGAATATTTTATGTTTTATGTTTAAATGTAAAGAAAATATATCACATAATGTATTTATAAATCTTTATAATTTGAAACCTAAAAACAAATATATTCTTCGTGCCAGTAAAAGTATTGAAGAGCCATTTTGCCAAACTAAATTTGACCAGTTTTTGTATTTCTTATCGTGGTCCTTCTCTTTGGAATAAAATAATTTTACCTAATTTCGATTTTTCTTATAAATGGTCTTATTCTTCTTTTAAACGGAAAGTAAAAGAAATTATCTTTTCAACACAAAATATTTATATCTATTTTTAGTATTTAAGTTGTTTTTTTTATTTATTTTGATTTATACTTTATTTTGTTTATTATATAGACTGTGAAGAATATTAGAATATTGTATTCTTTTTGTTATATAGATTGTAGATTGTAAAGGGCTTCATGATAAGATCCTGTGATCTTCTAGAAGTCCTGCCGGTAATATATTCAATGCAAATTTACTTCGTACATATTCTGGCAAATAAAATAAAATAAAATATAAAAAAAAAAATTAATGGAGAGAGGAATCTGCCATTGTGACGTCGAAACAATCATTATACGCCTTTTTTATCCATGTTTTTTTTTTAAAAAAATAATAGCGATTTTCTGCAATGATTTATGACTCGAATTTTTTCACTGCTGATTTCAGTGTGCTGTTTTACAAATGTTAAAGCATTATTTAGTATGTCTTTTGCGATGGGTGGGTAAAATTCATTGATGTGGAGTTGTATAAATATACAGTGTTGCTTGTCGCTTATGTTTGTAAACCATTTGATTACTTCTGCGGTGTTTTTCCATCGGTTTAATTTTAATTTATTTTTTAAGTCCTTGTTAACTTTATCTAGGTATGTTTTGCTGACAACGCCGAGTTCACCTTTTTCTGGATTTGATAAACGGCAAGGTTTTTGATTTTCAATGTTGTTTTTGTGATTTTTTAATGTAATGAATGCTTCTGATTTGGCGATTATATTGATTTGTTTGTTTATATTTAGTTTAGTTGCTATGCTTTTTGCCTCGAGGTTGATTGAATTTTCTAAATTTTTAGGGGCTTTTTTGTATGTTTTGGTGATGTTTTCTTTCAATAATTTGGAGTAATCATTGGGGGTAATTGGTAAATGTTGTTGGTTTTGTCTGCAATTATTTTTGCAATTAATTGTCTGCAATTTATTAACTTGGTCTATTCTAAAAAAAAACCCCGCCTACAACAATGCAACAAAAAAATGTTTACTTTGTTTATATGAAAAACTGATCATTACTTTATAAAAATGCTGAAGAGCTACTTAATAAAAAAAACAGAGTTAATTTGCATGTGTCGTCACGAAAATAAATTTCTATTAAGCAATCACAAACCTCAAAATTAGATACACGCGGTCGTAACAATAAAAAAAAGTTTTTTTCCGTTGAGGTTTTTTCTGTATAGTTTCAATTGCATATAATTTTTAAACGAAATAACTATATTTGTATTTCACCTGATGATTGTAACAGCATGAAACTTAAAATTATGAAAATCACGTAGTTTTATTTTCCACTATATATATTATAGCTCTGACTTGATAGTATGCACGAAATAGCATCTCTCTCTCTCTCTCTCTCTCTCTCTCTCTCTCTATATATATATATATATATATATATATATATATATATATATATATATATATATATATATATATATATATATATATATATATATATATATATATATATATATATATATATATATATATATATATATATATAATATATATATATATATATATATATATATATATATATATATATATATATATATATATATATATATATATATATATATATATATATATATATATATATATATATATATATATATATATATATATATATATATATACAATTAAAGTTTTATTATATTTATAAAGACATAAATCCATCTTCATATAAAACTTTAATCCAAATTCATATAAAAATTTATATGTATTTGCAATATACACAAGTTTTGCATTTTTATATAAAATTTGTGTATTCTGCAAATTCATATAAATTTTTGTAAAATTATACATATTTTCATAGCAAAAGAATCTTTTAATGTTTTCACTTTTATTACATTAATACTTTTATTACACGTTTTTAAAGAACTTTCCCACGCACAAACCTATGTGAAAATTTAAATTTTATTTTAATTCCGAATTATTAGTACATTTGCGTCGGAAATATATATATGGAAATTAAACTTTAAACCAATAAGTTAATAAAGTCCAAATGCTGCGCATGTTTGTGCAACAATTATATTTCTTCATTTTTTACAGAACAACTCCTTTGATGTCCCTAAAGTTTCTTTTTAATATATAGGTACAAAAGTTTGATTCAAACGATGAGTTACGTTATTAGACAAATAGAAGACGTTGGAATGTCTGATGCTGCTTTAAAATGTTTAAAAATTAAAATTACAAACTTTCATCAAACATTTGAGAAAAATGAATAAAAACAGGAAGACATTGACAATTCTCCATGGTCATCTATTCTACTTGGATAAGTAAATAGTTTGAATTTACTGGTTGTATATTTCGAAGTGTGCCATGTGCCTCTCAACAAAAAAAGTGTGCCATGTGCCTCTCAAAAATTGCAACATCTCCTGGAGCCAAGCAGCCAAAAGCTAAGTCTGCCTTCAGCAAAGAAGCTAAGGAAAAAAAGAAAAAGGTATTCAGCTACCGTTTTTAAAGAAAATTTCGATTTCATCTCCAAAACGTTATAAATTTTGTAAAAAGACACGACAGTCAATTATAAAGTAACCAGCAATATTGTAGAAAGAATAAGCACTTGCACTATAAACTGTTGTATAAATTTTAAGTTTTATAGTGTTCAAAAATTATGATCATATAAAGTTTGTAAATCCTCAAACTGAGGGGGTTTTTATAATATTTTATCAACTTGTTGCCTCTCAAGTTTGGGGTAGTTGGGGGGATGAAGTTGAGGAGCTTTTTCGTTCCCAATCTCCAATCATTGCAATTTTTGCAAAGCCTCTTAATTTGAGATAAGTATAAACATACAAATGTTTGGAGTTTGCTCTTGCCTGGAAGTTAGCTATTTCAAACACCAAAAAATCCTAGATCCGTCACTGACTAGAGTACGACAACACTGGCAAATAAAACTAAATAAAAGTATATTCATTAATTTTTCTTTTTAATGCCTACAGTATTTATAAGTGGCGTAGCAAAGGTCATTGGCGCCCATGGTCTAAGTAACAAATAGGCGCCTTTTTATTGTAAAAACTTTTTTTTTAAGGAAAGAACAAACAAAATATTTTATTATTTTATAATAATAAGCAAATAAATAAATTATTTATTTACTTATTTTTTTTTTTTTTTTTTTTGTAGCGATCTTTTTATCAAATACGTCCGCAGCAAAGCCCCTTCGGCCCCCGTCTCGCTACGCTTCTGATTAAGTATTTTTCGGGAAAGCGGAATAGTATCGAAAATTAACTGATCGAAAAAATGATTAGTATCGAAAAATAACTGACCGAAACTCATTTTAAGGAATAAGATCGAAAATGTGAATTTCAGATTAATATCGAAAGAATTTTATATCGAAATTCACAAATGTGGAACAATATCGAAAACAATAAAAACGGAATAAGATCGAAAAATTATTTAACTGATTAACATCGAAAATGTGTTTTTCTGATTAATATCGAAAAGTTTTTATATCGAATTTCACAAATGTGGAACAAAATCGAAAATAATAAAAAAGGAATAAGATCGAAAACTCATTTTAATGATTAACATCAGAAATGTAATTTCGATTTTATTCCTTTTTTCACAGTTTCGATATAATTCCGGAAATTCCCATTTCGATATTGTTCCTTTTTTCAGAATTTCGATGTAATTCCGTTTTTTAAATTTTCGATACTATTCCTTTATTCACAATTTCGATATTATTCTGATAAGCCCCTTTTCAATATTTTTCTGAGCTTGTTTCGAGATTATTTTGCTTTTCAGATTTTCGATACTAATCCTTTTTTAACAATTTCGATATATTCTCTTTTTCGATATTATTCCGAAAATTCCCTTTTCGATATTGTTCTTTTTTTTCACAATTTCGAGATTATTCTATTTTTCTGATTTTCGATACAATTCCTTTTTTTACAATTTCGATGTTATTCTCTATTTCGATGTTGTTCTGGAAATTCTCTTTTCGAGATTAATCAGTTTGGCTGTTTTCGATACTGTTACTGCTACCCTATTTTTCTATTAGCTTTTTCTATTAGCTTTTTAAAATTTTCTATTAGCTTTTTAAAATTTTTTATTAGCTTTTTAAAATTTTCTATTAGCTTTTTAAAATTTTCTATTAATTTTTTAAAATTTTAAAATTTTCTATTAGCTTTTTTTCCACGCTACTGCGTGGAAAAAAAGCTAATAGAAAATTTACTAACGTCGTTAATTTATTAAATAAAATTTCAAAGTACTTTTTACGTTGCAATGTCTTTAAATTATTTTTGTTAAAAGATGACGGTTTATACTCCGGAGGAGATAAAAAGCCAATGGAGAGAAATTGTAGAGGTAAGTTTTAATTTAAATCACGCTTATATATTTAATTTACTTTAAATGTAGTTTATAATTTTATAACTATACTTTCTTTAAAACATTTTAATATAAACATTTTTTTAATATTCAAATAAAATAATCTCAGAGTCAACGTCTTATTCACGTAAACCACGTTACTTCAAAAAACGAACGTAGCGAAATGGAAAAAATTAAAAAAAATATGGAGGAGAATGTTACAAAAAAAAAAGTAAGTAGATATATTTAGTATAGAAAATTTGGAGCGTCAACTTTTGTTTGTCTGAAATGTCTCAACACTTTTATCGAATCCTTATAATATAAATCAAATTCTATACTTTTTATGTTTTAAATGTTCGACTAAGCAGAGACATTTAATAAGGTAGAGTATTTTTTTATTTTGAATACAAATTTATTTTCACGAAAAAATTAAAAAATTAAAAAAAAAAATTTCACAAAAAAATTTACAAATTTGTTGGGCACAATGTTCCATTTTTTAAAAAAGTCCTCTATATCTAGAATTTTCTTTAAAAAAAAAAAAAAAAAAAAAAAAAAAAAAATGTTCTTTTACAAAAAAAGTGTGTGTGTGGGGGGGGGGGGGCGTATCCCCCGACCCCTCAGTGTTGGCTATTTGTTGATCTAACTTTTGTTTTAAATGATATTGTTCTTAGGATTTACAGAGTTGTCATTAATTGATCAATAATTTGAACTTTGTTAAGCAAATTATTGAAGCTTTATAATATTAAGAACTAATTTTTGTACTTTTAATGTTAATTGTTTGACTAAACAGAGACATTTGATTAGGAGAGTGTTTTAATGTGGTTACTGCTTATTTGTACAAAGAGCTTGATTTATCCTGAACAATCCTGTAGCATCATTCTAATTAGAGATAATATCACAATAATGAAAAACACAATAATAAATTTCAAACTTTTCAAAAAAAAAGTATTTTTTAATTAAATCGTGCTCTAACTTGGATTTAAACTTTTAAGTTATTTGAGACAAGAATGCCATTATCAGATTTCATTAGTAGTAGTTTTAAGTGTGTGACGCGTGTCATCAGTGGTTTCCATTAAATACTCATACATTAAACGTTTTTACATTTAATATATGAGTATTACATTTATTGTCGCTGGCCACAAACATCTATAGGTGTAGATGGTTTTGTAGGTGGATAAAAATCTAACTATATGTAACAATTTTGTTGCATACTGTTAGATTTATTTACCTACAAAGTCCTGAATAAGGTGTATGTCTTACTCTCTGCATAATCGTTAACGCAAGTCAAATTTTTGACAAATTTTTTGAACAAATATACCATCTTCAGGGACACCATCAGGGACTTTTGCAATTTTCAACAAGAACCAACGTTCTGGACCTTTCAGTTCCCAAAGCTCAGTGGGCTGTAATATGATTGGTAGCTCAGGTTTTCCGATCTTTATTTTGTCAGGAACGTCATACTGAACTAATTTTTCCAACATCTTTTTTCTTCACTTCCTGCTCTACATCTTCATCAGCCAAAGATATCAGCACCAGCTTCTCAGTCAAGTATAAGTTATGTCTTTGCATACAAGCAACTAATGCCAAAGCAAGATTGGGGTATTTATCTTTGATGCAAAAAACATTCTTGAAAGCAGCAAGATCATTTGAGGGTGAATTTACAACCAAATACGACTTTAGAAACCAAGTTGCATACCAGAGATATTTGAAGAAGGCTACTGTCTCTATCATCTTTTTTTCCACTTAGCTCATAATCATGGTGATCATACTTTTTTTTATTTTTAGAGTAAGATTATATAAAGCATCAGCCATAAACCTAAAGAGTAAGATTTTGTTACCATTAATATTTTTTATATTTTTTATTTATGTTATTTCTTTTACTTACAAAATAATTTTTTTAATATACTGTACCTAGCTTCATGGCAGGCTCCAGTTTGATGGAAACAAAATCCATGTACTTCTCATAAATAGAAAACAAAAAGTTCGCATAGTTTCCTGTAATCACTCCTCACAAACGTTTTTGAGGCAAGGGTCTTTTTTCAGAACTTTTTTAGCAATTTCATAAAGGGGTGACTCAAATGATGAAGCATATGTCTTCAACAAAGAAATATTAAGAATGGAGCTAAAGATAATAACCGCTTCAGAGTGTATTCCAGTATTGGATGTCGTAGTGTCACAGCAAACAATAAATGTTTGATCTAAAATGTCAAAATATTCCAGCAGATTTAAAATTGCTTCAGCCTGGTCACTTTTGGAATTTGGTGTCTGAACAACACCTAGCAGTATGTCATCTGTGTCATTCATTTAAGGGGATGTAACACTGGCCGGTATTCTTTTTACAGAAAAGTGTTAGTTTTAGATCTACTTTAATCTGTTTAACCCTCTTTTCATCAAAATAAACACATAGCTTTTTTCCCTTCAGAGCAATTATAATTTCTTGTCTAAACTTATCTCCTAATATCGCAACCTTTTTGATTCTCTTTCTGACTGTATTTCTTGATAGATTAATATCTTCTAGATTCACACCAATTTTATTGCAAATACTAGCTACTAATAAAGTTTGTCGGCGTATACTTACTCTGTATCGGACAGAAACAAAAGCAGTTCAGTCAACCTTTAGCAGTTATCGTTATCTTAGATTTAATAGATAACGATAACTGATAAAATTTTCATTCATCTATAAATGACTGAATCTTTCCGATTCAGAATCATTTCTAGATGAATGAAAAGAATCGTCAAGTTTAAAGAATTTCACTACATTTGTAGAGATTCTACCTTGTCTCCTACATCCTCTTGAGCCTAATATTTTTATTTTTAACTAAATTTTGTAATAATTCATCCAGTTCTTTTGTAACATACATGCTTCGCTCTCCTTTTTAATCTAGATAGAACTGAATATCCTTTTTAGCATTCTCAGTACGAAAACGATCCTGATTTACCTTTTGTTCAAAATTTACCAACTCTAGCTATTGCTAAAGTTCCACTTCAATGATTTGAGATGATGCAGATTTGCGTACTTAATATGGGGCTATCTTAACCCTGACACTGGATCCACTGATGATAAAATCTTGAAATTACAGTGGAGGCAACACATCTTTTTTCAGAATTCTTGCAGAAACTTTGCAGATCAGATCCCTGCTCTTATGCTTCTGATAGCAGGCTACTACCAACTTAGTAGATTTAAATCGGGGGGGGAGGGAGGGGATTTTAGACTAAATATGTCTTGCATAAAATAGACCATTTTTTAATTTTATCATTGTTTTTCAATAAATTTATATTTTAAAAAAATTATTACTTAATCTACCAAAGAAAATTTTAGAAACTAGATGTATCCTAATATATTTTCAATGACTGCCATTCTTTACGAGGAACAGCAGCCTCCTTGGATTCGTTGACAAATGCACTTTCTCTTCTCAGCCGTCTTTTTTTTTTTTTTTTTGAGTGCGATCCATTTCACTGTTTTCAGCAGCGTCAACCGTATTTGGGCGCCGCCCAAATTAAAATTTGAGGACCTTTTTTTTTTTTTTACTTTTTTTTACGGGTTTTTTTACGTTTTTACGCTAAATATTGTTTTTTTTGCAACAATAACGCCGAAGTCCGCCGAAACGAGGGGGACCGTCACCCAAATTTTTTTCTTAGAATAGGCCCTGACAGAAAATACAAAGGTTGTTTAACTAGTCATCATTATCAACCCCCTCTGTGAATCTGGCTTTGATGAACTTTCTGTACAAATAGGCCACATGAACTGATTCTTATACAGTCTAAAAACTTTTTTTTTTTCCAAACCCTCTAGAGTAACGGGCATTAAAAATGTAAAATTGTTGGGTTTGCATCTAAAATAATGCAAAAAAATCTCAAATTTATCAAAAATGAAGAAATTTCACATATAGCTGAAATTGACCTCAGAAAAATTTTTTAGTCATACATATGAACTCAGTAGCTAAAAGGGAATGGGAATGTGTGAATTTATAACACAAAATAATTTTAATTAAGAAAATCCACAACAAAAGTGTTTTTTAGTAATTAAAACTAGGGTTGTTCGCCGAAAAACAAAACTTGCGAAAATTTCGCATCTTTATCTACCGTAATAGAATTGTTATTACGGAAGTTGCACATGCGAAAATGCACATTCCGTAACGCGCTATACGAAAATATAAATAAATAAAATTCCGTAATAAAGCATTGCAAAAGAAAACTTGCGAAACAAATCATTTCGGAAGAATACTTACGAAATAGTTCCTTACGGAAAAAGCATTCCGGAATGTGTAGTTACGAAAAAGACGCAAAAGATTTTATGTTACGATATATTTAAGATATTAACTGTTAACAGTTTAAATAATAAATAATAAAATTATAAAAAAATGTTGTCAAATGATTCTTCAAATGTTTATACAAATATACCTAATATATATATATATATATATATATATATATATATATATATATATATATATATATATATATATATATATATATATATATATATATATATATATATATATATATATATATATATATGTATATATATATATATATATATATATATATATATATATATATATATATATATACATTAACGGGATTTTACTGTATATATATGTATATATATATATATATATATATATATATATATATATATATATACATTAACGGGATTTTACTGTATATATATGTATGTATATATATATATATATATATATATATATATATATATATATATATATATATATATATATATATATATATATATATATATATATATATATATATACATATTTATATATATTTTCATATATATATATATATATATATATATATATATATATATATATATATATATATATATATATATATATATATATATATATATATATATATATATATATATATATATATATATATATATATATATATATACATTAACGGGATTTTACTGTATATATATGTATATATATATATATATATATATATATATATATATATATATATATATATATATATATATATATATATATATATATATATATATATACTTATATATACAGTAAAATCCCGTTAAGTTGGACTCTCAATGAATAGATAAACAGTATGCCTTTCTTTTTAAAAAGTATAAAGAGGATGTGTGATAAACAATTAAATACTTTATTATAAAGAACGAGAGATCTCTCTAAAGGTAAATGATATCATAAAGAGTAAAAAGAGAAGAAATATATGTGAAACAGCGGGATGTGAACCTGGGTCTACGCGGCCAAATGTCTTAACTGAATGAGCTATACGTTCATTCAACTAAGTGAATAGTAATATTTATTTAATATATAATTAAGAAACTATATAAAACAGAATTTACAGAAAGAGATACGTATGCAAATAGGATTCTATATATCAGGAAAATGAATAGTAATGTGAACCTTTAGATGCTTATAATTAATATCTGGACTCAAAAACTAGTTACTTTTAATGGAACACAATAGGCTGTAGGAGCCTCAGGGAAATTATATTCAGAAATGGTTATATTAGACTCAGAGTTAGCTAGAAATTATTACAAAGTATTTAGGACAGATGTCTAGTACAAAAAGCAAAAGATTTAAAGCAAAATGAATTATATTATTTGAAAAAGTTGTTTTACGTACATTTCATCATAATTTAAGTAGAACTTAGTAAAGCAAGGGAAACGTGTTGAATTAAGCACAATGAACTCAATCTTAAAAAAAATAACTAACAGAAGAGAGGTTGTCACTATTGTGAAGGCGACGAAAGATCTGTAATATAGAACATGGAGGTCAAAAAATGCTATTTTAAGTAAAAAGAGTTTGATGAACAAAAGTTACAATGGCTGCGGGATGCGAACCCGGATCTCTGCGGCGAATTATCACGTATCTAACTGATTGAACTATACAATCTTATACTCAAATTTATATCTTATTAAAATTAAAAAACAATATTTTCTATGATCTATACTTCGAAAAGCGTATTCAAACAGGACTCTACATACCTTTAAAATCTGCTAGAATTTTAGTAACGTGCACACTTTTAGAAATTATTGAAATTGGTATATTTTATCAGAAATATGCTTAAGCTAAAGCATATTTTTGAGCCTCTTTTTACTATTTGCTTAAGCATATTCAAACCTGTTTCAAAAATTTCATATGCTTTAAAAAAAAGCATGTATATTCCTACCCATCATTCTTATTTTTAATATACGTAATGAGTTCAAAAAACATCGTTGTATATATTTATTATAGCACGTTTCGTAAGTTTATTTCCGTTAAGAATTCTTTCGTATGTTGTGATCCGAAATACTTTCGTTTCGAAAGAAATTTTATTTTTTATCAATATTTCTAAAAATAAAACCGTAAAAATTTAATAGTTATTATACTGAAAATAAAAATTCATTATAAACATTTTTGGATTTAAAGATGTTAATTTTTACAATTAAAATCAGTCTTGCAAACAAATTTTCTTTATAGACTTCAAAACGTCGTTTGGCGAAAATGTTTGTTTCGCAAGTGCTACTTCCGAAACCGCTACTTTCGTATGTTGCAAAATAGTTTTGTTTCGTATGTCAACTTGCGAAATGCTAAATTTCGGAAGTGGCTTTTGCGAAATGAACATCGGCGATTTTAAATGTTTTGTAACATTCGGTACGAAAAAATGTAATTCCGTGTTCTCAATCTCCTTACGAAAGAATGTTGTTTTTCCGGAATTGCACGAAATCCTCCGGTTAACAACCCTAATTAAAACATACTTATTTAATGTTCTGACTAGTTGAATCAGAACATTATGTTCTATTAGATTGATGGTAAAAACAGTGATGCGTTTGCAATATAATAAGCAAACAATAAAGTTTTTTTTTTTTCAAATTTTCGCGGTGCTGAGAGAAGTCTCTACAGTCTTATCACAGCATCGTGGAAGAGCATTCAACTAGAAAGTTCACACCTCCTTCCTTACCATGGGCGCTCATTAGGCTAGAGCCGGCGTTGAACCATGAACCTCTCGGTTCTGAGCCGTACCTCTAAACACTGCGCCACGGCTGTTTTGCAATTGATATGTTAAGAGTAAGTTAAGTAAGGGTGATCAGCCAATCCGATTTTTTAGGATCGTCCCAATTTTAGGCTATCCAAAAAAAACTATCGGGATTGTCACGGTTTTGAAACAAATTATGTTTTTGAAAAAAAAAATCAAATAATTATCTTTATAGAATTTAATTACAAATGCATTAATAACCGTATTGGCCAGAACTAAGAATAATTACGATTTTCAAAGGAGTAAATTTTGATTTTAAAAAAAGCATATGCGTATTTGTTTATTTTTAAATTGTTGATTATTAACAAGAAGCTATAAACTTCTTATTTTTAAAATCAACTTAATACTTTTTGTCTTGGTTGAAATTCTTTGTTACTGGTATTTGTTTTTATTTAATGTTTCTTTTCAACTAGTTTTTAACTATAGTTTAGAATGCCGAAGCGTAAATGCGTTTACAACGAAGATTTCTCCAAAGAATGGAAATTTATAAGGAAAGGCTTTTGAAGTTTATAAATTAAAAAAAAAAAAAAACGATAACAAAAAGAAGTAGAATGTTCAGTATGCATGTCATTTATAAGGATCGGACACTGAGGTCGAACTAATATAAACGACCAATTGAAATTTTCCCAAATATCAACTGCAAGTTTTTTAAAAAAGTTGACTCTTTTTTCACTAAACCTAGCTCCAATGAAGGTTGTAAGATATATCCATCGGAATTAATCAACGCATATCATATAATTAAACATCTTTATTCATATCGTAACAGATTGCAATAATAATTAATTGAAACTAAATTTTCGTCTTTACAAACCAAAACTTAATTCAAATCAAAAAACTAATGTGGTAGTGATGTAGTGGTAGAGAATTTGCTTCATAAGTAAGAAAGCTCCGAGTTCGATTCTCACCACGTTCCTGGTAGTACCGCACTCAACACGTTTCAAGGTGTTTGTTTGTCAAAGTTCGTGTTTCGGAGTTATAGAGTTGAGATTGGGTTGTAATCATAATTAAAATAGTCTCCTCGACTGTTGTAGCATTCTTGGTCTTGGGAGGTGAATTAACATTTAAAAGAAAATCAATTATTACTCCACATTCTCTTAAAAACATCAGCGCAGTAGTTGAAAAAAATAATTTATTTAAATTAGCAACAATTGCTAGTTCACGGTTCAACCAGAGTTTTTCCTTTTTCCATTAATATTTTGATATGTACAAAGGAATAAAATTTAAGTTGTAAAAGTTTCTCTTTTGCCAATTTTAGCATTGACGCTAAAAAAATTGCAATTTTATTTAAATAAATGTGTAGTTTCTGCGCTGATAACAAATGAAGATTAAACAGGAAGAAACGATCACATTTTTTCATTTTGAGAAAACTCAATACTAAACTTTAAATTCTATGTAACCTTTTAATTTTTAGAAAAAAAGTGTAAACTTGTAAAGAATTTTGCGAAAGTAACCTTATTTTTTTGCAATTAAAGTTATATTTCCAGGTCATGTGCATTAACTTTCATTTTAGACATCTTTTTTTCAGTGAATTTTTTTTGGACCCTGCTGTTTTTTCACCGGTTTAACGACTGTATTCGTTTTTTTATTAATTCATAAACTAAATCATTAATTTTTTAGTTAAAGTAACTTAATAAAACAGTTCTATCTTCTCTTTTAACAATTTCTAAGCATTTCAACCATTTGCAATTACATTCAAGCCCTATTTTACAAGATGCTAGCCTTTGTTTTTTTATACTTTCGCGCAATCTTTCTTTGTTTTTTCTTTTTACTAGATTTTTTTGTTATTTGTTCTAATGGTTCAAATGTCGCTATTTTTAGTAATAAACATTAACCGAATCATCTGCGAGTATTATGAAAAAAAAGGACTTGGAGCTTTCAATCTAAGTCTTGATAATACAGAGTAGTGTTTGGTTTATTTCTTTTAGTAAGTTTTGATTGTTTAAAAACTTGTTTTTTCGGCCCGTGGAGTCTTCAAACTTTAGAGGAGGTCAAAAAAACGGTAAATGTAATATTTACTACAATTAAATTATAGTAAATATTGAATACATTGAATAATCTTTACCATCTACTACATTGTGTAGAGATAAAAAAAGATCTGGAATAGCGCAAAACACTGACGCTGATGTCAAAGAGAGGTTTCACTGGGACGACTAAATAAGTGCAAATTTCATAAGTGTAAACTGGCATAAGTGCGTAGCAGTTACAAAAACTAGCACAAGTGCAAACTGGTATAAGTGCACCAAAAGAATTTCCATTGGCATAAGTGCGAACTGTCATAAGCGGGAATTGGCATAAGTGCAAAGCTTTTGTAAAAACTGGCACATGTGCGAACTAGCATAAGTGCGATTTGGCACAAATGCGCCGAACAAACTTGCAAACATTGGCATAAGTGCGAATTGGCATAAGTGCAAACTTGCATTAGTGCGAACTGGCATAAGTGCCAATTGGCATAAGTGCGCCGAATAAAATTGCAAATATCCCCATAAGAGCAAAATTTGCACTTATGCTAATTTTTGCAATTTTATTCGGCGCACTTATGCCAATTCGCACTTATCCTAATGTTTGTAAATTTATTCGGCGTACTTATGCCAGTTCGCACTTATGTCAGTTTGCACTTATGCCAGTTTTTCCAACTACTTCGCATTTATGCCAGTACACCTTTATGCCAATACGAATGTTTGCAAATTTATTCGGCGCACTTATGCCGATTCGCACTTATGCCAGTTTTTACAACTGCTTCGCATTTATGCCAGATCGCACTTATACCAGTTTGCACTTATGCCAATGTTTGCAAATTTTTTAGGCGTACTTATGCAAATTCGCACATATGCCAGTTCGCACTTATTCCAGTTTTTGCAACGCTTTGCACTTAGGCCAATTCGTTCTTATTCAGCTTCTCTGTTTCACTTTTTAAATAACTTCTACGATGTTAAAAAATGACAACTGTGACAACGCTAAACTCTGTTTTACTTAAACTAGAGTTTTTACTAGATTTGATAATATATTTAGTGTACACATTGCGTTATTTTTAATTTGTTCTCAATTTGCGAATAAATAAGTTAAGCGCTTTTTGTTTAACTTTAAATTAATAAAACTTAAGAATACCGCTTTTTTTATTAATTTATTGATTCATTTATTATATTCTTTTTTTAATAGTTTTTTCTTTCATCAACGTATGATCGTTTATTTCACCATGGTTCAAGTAATATGATAAGCTTAAACACTCGAGTTGAAGTATTATTTCTTAAATTAGTTTATTTTTATCTATTTCTAAATAATTCTTTTTAAGTTTTTTTTATTTGAGTAATTTTATCGCACATAAAAAAAAATAATAATAATAATATTAAATGTAATATTTAGATATTATACATAATATATAATGTTGTAATATTATATTGTATATGATATATTATTATTAATAATAAATATAGAAATTATATTTAATATTAGATGTATATTTAGAAATTAAAAAAAAATGCATCTTTGTTATCATCATCTGCTTATGGACATCGACTGCCACTTGATGAACCACTTCGAAGATATTTTCGGATAGAACGAATGCAAAGAGAATTTTATAGAGAAAATGGAATTACTAATCCTTTTGATAACCTTCGTCAAATATAGTTTAATAAATGGGCAAAAAAAAGTTTTTGTTTTTAAATATTAATAATTAAAATAAAAAAATTATGTTTAATTGCTTTAAAATAATTAATTTAAATTTATGCTAATAATATTTCTTTTATTTGAATTTTGTGATATATCGTGTTATACAATGCCCTTGTATCCGAAGATATTGTTGGCTTAACATAGGAACAGCTGCAAACAGTCATAAATACTATTTAGCGGTGAACGGATTTTTACTCGTATCGCCCAACAGCCCGGAAAAGAATCGGTAACTTGGGCTGAGCTTATAATAAAGTTACGGCTCTAGATTAACTAGAAATGCTTAAAAAGGTCTTTATCTTAATAATTGTATTAATAGTTTTTATTGACATTATCATCTAACTTTTAATGTACGTTGCCATCTAACTTCTAATGTACATTACCATTTAACATTAATGTACATTACCATCTTACTTTTAATGTACATTACCATCTAACTTTTAATATACATTAGTTGGATTCCTTATTTAACGCGACGAAACTCCGGCTCCTAGCTGCGTAGCATGACTCTTTAAAGATAAACTTAATAAAATTTTAGTAAAAGTTCAAGAAATATATTACAACAATATGTAAGTATATACTAAAATGTAAATGAAGATCGGCTCAAGAGGATAGGCTTAACAACACTTGAAAAACGACGCAAAAACGGCGACCTCATCAAGCAATTTTAAATAATTCATTAACTCAAATTTGTCGTCATTATCGTCCCGCAAAAACATTCAAAAATAAAAATCAAATAAATCATGAGAAGACATAACCATAAACTAGAACTCCAACTAGTAAGAAGTTGTGGAGAATAAAACAACTTAAAAAATTATTTGAAAAAATAACATTTTTTAAATAGATTTGTCGCTCTATGGAACGCGCTTTTGCAAGCAACTCATTTTTTAACGCTTTTAAAGGCAGCATAAAGTTAGAATTTTTACAGACGCAACTGCTGCTTTGTCTGCAGTATCTGTGTTTTTTTATTCGTCAGCATAGACGGGCCTGGTGTTGCACCTTTTCATCAAATTATGAACAAATTTATTGTGTTTGTTTTTTGATTACTGAATAATAATAAAGATAAATAAGGTGTAAAGCATGAATATAACTTATATATAACAGGTTAAAAGAACAGAAAATTTTAACAGTGTGATTAATACCAGGAAAAAAGATAGTTCTTAAAAACTATTTAAAGATACTTGATGTTATTGATAATAACTTCATGTATCTTTAAATGTGGCTGGATAGCTTAGTTAGTTAGAGCATCAATTGAAAATTTAAAACCCGGACTGTTGTACAAACGGGTTCTAATCCTACCACCGCTTGAGTATACTTCTGTACGCAAAAATGTTGGTCAATAACGGGCGCTACTTCTCCAGCTAACACAAAACGTTTAAGTACGTTCAGCGAACGTTGCGAACGTTCAAGCACGTTCTATGAACTTTCTTAGATCGTTTGCAACGTACGTTGAACGTTTTGTATTACCTGGGTTGGATTAGTTTTAATGACTATTTGCGGCTGTTCCTAAGCTAAGCCAACAATATCTAAGCTAAGCTAACAATATCTTTGGATATAACATTGTATAGAAAAATATAGCATGAAAATTCAAATAAACAAATATAAAAAATAAAAAATAAAATGAACTTACTTAAAAATTTTTTTTTTTTTTTAGCATTTTTTGTCAGCATTTGTTTTTTTAATTGCGTTCGATTAATTCATTTCCAAAACTATATCCGTACAACAGAGACGGATCTAGCGAAAGCAAAATGCAAACGCCTCAAATGAGAGAGAAACAAGTTAATTATTTTTTTTACTATTCTTAACTAAATTAAAATTCATCAATAAATCTTAAATTTCATAGAACAATTTCTATGTGTTCAAAAATTGACCACACAAAATTTTTATTCCTCTCAAATACAAACGGGTTCAAACTTTATAAAATCATAACTTTTTAAACACTAAGAGATTATTCTATCAAGTTTAAAATTTATGAATGAATATTAATTTAGACAAGAATAGTAAAAAAAAAAAAAATACTATATCAACTTTTTGCTCTCACCTTCGGCCGGGGGTTAAAATTTTGTGACTTTTTTGTTCCAAAGATCCAATCATCGCAATTTTTTGCAAAGCATAAAAGCATAAAATTTGACATAAGTTTAAATTAAGTAACGTTTTGAGTTACACAAAAAAATGCTGGATCCGCCCTTGCCGTGTACAATGTATATGTGCATATAAACAAGAAAAAGAAGTGCTCTTATTTTAATTTTATTTATGTTAGTTCACCTTTCTAAAGCCGAAAACTACAGTCAAGGAGGCTATTTTAATTGTGGTTACAACCCTTTCTCAACCCCTATAATTCTGAAACACTACTCTTGACGAACAAGGCCGCTGCGCGGAGAAACAAGTTGAGCGCGGTACTACTGGGAACGTGGTAGGGATTAAACTCAGAATTTCTCGCATATGACGCGAGCGCAGTGAAATTTTCTTTTTTCACAGTTTTCTGCACAACAACTTTTCACTGTTTTCACAATTATTTACTTCTTTAGCCACTCATCATGGCAAAATGAAGTTTTTCGGGCGTTTAGCGTTCATATAAATATTATGATTAGCACCATTTTTGAATAGTTTGGAGTAATTATTGTATTAAAATAGTTTTTTGTTGCTTAAAGTATTTTGAAGTTTTATAAATGTCAGATCAAATAATCAAAGACCTAATACATCTTATTAACTTTAAATAATTCTTGTTAAGAAGCTAGTTTTATATATAATATATATTTACTTTTTTAGTAACGTAGCTCAAGGAAATAGCTCGTTCCCAAGTAAAAAGACACATTTTCAAGCTCTGATAGCTTTCACTATCAAGTTGAGCTGTCATTATTTACGTATGAATTCATATGCAACAAATGTCAACTACATAAAAAAACTTATGAAATCATTTGTTTTCTTGTGCAGTTGATTACAAAAGAAAATATGAGTTCATTGACATTGAATTTGATTTCTTAACTTCCGTTAACAAATCAAGTTCTGGAAATGTGAAGATATTTACAATCTAGCATTATGACTTCTTTTGCAAGCCGACATATGTATCGTAGCAATACTTAAAGAATTCACCAAAGATTTACATAATGGATATTTTCCAATTGCTGAGAAAAAGCTCCGTGTGATTTTCCCAAAGAGAAAAGAAATAATATCCTTCAAGCTAAAATTTTTTTAGTTTTTTATACTTTTAAATAAATTTATTTTTATTTTAGACAATCTACTGATCTACTGATAAAGCTTATGATGCCTCACAGAGCTAGCACGCATACATTGGGCCAACATATGTATTACAACTGTGAGCGTCGGCTTTTTTTTATGATGCAAGTTCAACGTTGATTCAATGTCATGTGTTTAGCTAAAATATTAATAAAAAGATTTACACCGATGCATTAAAAATCAGTTTGCACAATGATATTGATCCAACGTATGTAAAAACAATGCAAAAATTGATTGTTTTTACGAACTAAACCCAACCTTTATCTAATGTATACAATCCAACGTTGATTCAATATATATAGATCAACGTTGATCTAATGTATATAATCCAACTTTGGTTCAAAGTATATGGATTTAAATAAGTTTTTAAATATATATAACAAAACGTTTCCAAATAAAATGATAAAAACGAAAACAATTTCTAACCGTTGAATGAACAAAACTCTTGGAAAATTTTACTAAAACTCTATAACAATTTTCTCAAAATTAAGAATATTGAAAGCAAATTTCTCAAAAATAAGAATATTGAAAAGAAATTTCTCAAAAATAAGAATATTGAAAACAAATTTCTCAAAAATAAGAATTTTGAAAACAACTTTCTCGAGAATATTTAAAACAAAAACTATAAATACTTCATCAATACTTATTCAAAAAAAAAAAAATTTTTAGTAAAAAAATTACTGAATGTAAATTTGATACAAAAAAAACTATGGAATGCAATTAATAACATTAATCACCATATTACTATTAATGATATTAATATTAAGATGCTTTCTCATCTTTAAAAATAAATAAATCTCCGGTTTTTGATGAAATATCAACTGATATAGTAATTTCAAAAAAAAAAAAAAAAGATTTAAAAAATCTTTGTTTTAAATTCTAAAACTTTCAATAAATTAAGAGATATTTCCTGATATAATAAAAATAGCTAAAGTTTACCCAGTTTATCAAGGTTCCAATTATAGACCTATATACGAATTATCCATTTTCTCAAAAATATTTGAACGCGTTATGCATAACAGATTTTATGTCCATTTTGAAAAAAAAAAAAAACTTTTTTATTCAAAATAGTTTCAAAACAGTTTTACCCAAACATTTTAAAAAAAGTTAGATAATGTTCAATATTATTTAAATACCTAATATGTTATTATATTTAATTTAACAACAACTACACCACTCAGAATAACTTGGTTTTTTTAAAACTTGGCTTATTAAAAAAATTGATAATGTAATAACTAACGATTTTCAAAAATGACGTTGAGAAAAGGGCAATCAAAACTGACTCAATAAGTCCTCGAAGAAAAATTGGCTAGCAACTAACTAACGATATTCGTACCAATAAAAACATTGATTTGACCTCGAGCAACGCTAGTTAAATAATGTAGCAATAAGCTAGCGACAACACGAGTTGTAGTAACGATAAAGACAGCGATTTGGTAACAAGAATCACTAGCTGAAAAACTAACAAATAGCTAGTGAAAATTCCCATTACATTTTTAAAATACTTATTCATATTTATGCTTATACTATACTATTATTTTTATTTCATATTATTGACTTATTTACTTCCTTTCGTCGTAGACAATTTCATAAAGCAAATCGACACTACACACATTATTGTAACAAACGCCAAATTTATATTTATAACACCCAATCATTTTTAATTATTTGCTTTGGTTATATCTTTTATTTTTATTATTATTTCAGCAGGTTTTTCTAAAACAACCATTTC